ACACACACACACACACACACACACACACACACACACACACACACACAAAAGTACTGCAAGCTTTTCCTGCTTAAAAGATTAAGAGAACATACTAAAAAAAAGAACATTTTGCTCTTTTTTGATGGAAAGAATCTCCTTTTGCTCTGTGTTTCAGAATAGAGAAACTTAACACACAACAATGGGTTTATTACTATAAGATGCAAAGACACAATCTATTTTGGATCAAGCCTTATTTTGGCCTTTAAATTATATACAACAGGCATAGAGTGGCTATACTTGGGCAAATAAATGAACAGAGCTAAGATAAACTTTTTAAATTAAAGAGTCAATTGAATTCATTATTTCTATGTTATATGACCAGTTGAATCCAGAATAGGAAAATAAATAAAATTAAAACACCAGTTTTTAAAATATAGTCAGCATCTATTTAGTTACAGTAAACACAGGAAAAAAGTAATCCAATTCACTGCTAATATACATAATTATATTAGTTGCAAGCATTTCAGTTTCATTCATCTTTTTACTTTATTGCTAGTTTCCTAAATCTTGCTTACTTTAATTATTTAGCCTTATGAACAACTTGTTTATGTATGTTGCCAGCTGCCAGGAAAACCTAGAAATGCTGTGTCAGATATTTGTATCTTGATCTGAGTACAGCCAGGAGCTATAAAACTCTGTGGACCTGTCTATGCAATTCTTTAAAATAGAGGAAACTTCTGATATATATTCTGATAAAAGAGGCAGTAGAGAAGTACGTGATCAGCTTGTCTCTATCCTTCTGCTAGCTTCAAGGACACACTTGTCTGGTGAAAGGAATCTTTTTATAGCAATTCTCTGATACAGCTGAGAGGAGTATGTTGAAAAGAGCCAAAGTAAATGCCTTGCACTGTTCACTCAATATATTAGTTAAATAATTAGATAGTTTCAGTCTGACAGCTCAGGTGGATATTTATAAACCGAAGTCTGTTCCTGTTGTAAATCTGTCTTGGAAATGTTTGATCATAGATTTAACGTTTTGGCATTCCATGGATGTCAGCACTTCAGTAGATAAGCTACAGCTCTAATTTCTTACTAGAAACTTTATTCCATTTGGAATCTGCAGCATCCAAAAAATACTAGAGGATGAAATCCTGATGAAAAATACAGCATTTTCCACCCCCAAATAAGGGAGATGCAGCCAGGTTGGATCGCCCCCCTTAAGTGGTCTTCTAACTTAAGGTAACAGTTGCACCCAGAAAGCCATAAAGACTTGGCTTTTCCCTCAGACATTAAGCCATTAAGTAGGTGAGAACAATGTGTGATTTTGGTGATACATGTTGGCTATAAGGTGCCTTAGTTATTGATTATTTTTAACAGTGACTTTTACCTTGTTTTCTATGGGCTTTATAAATTTTCTCATGTATTTTTGTGTAAAATAGGTAGATTTTATACATTTTCTAGATAAATAAAATAATAAATTAGAACCACATTGGAGAATTGTTAAAATTAATCTCAACAATTTGGTGTATATAGTTTTCAAATGACAATAATATTGATAAGTAATACCTGAACCTCATGATGGTTAAGTAGTCAAATTTGCCACAATGCTTACACTGCTGATGAAGTACAATATTCTCTTGCATTATTACAGAACTTTAGAATTACATTTGTACTTCCTCATGCTGCTGTCAGCTCTCCAGTTTCTAGAGATATGAAAAACAGTACCAAAATATTTATAATGTTGCAATTTCAAGTTCTAATTTTGATTTGTGATTATTTTGTGTTTCAGTTATCTGTCACTCCCCTTTCAGTTACTAGCCAATGTATATGAAGACTTTTTTATCCCTGTTATTTTTATGACAATTAATTAGCATATTATAGGTAAGTGTTCATTAATTAATGGTGTATATATGTCTCTTTGTCTGTATAAAATAAGGCTCACTAAGCTCATTATTGTAGAATTGACACAATACTTCAATAATGTGGCCAGTAGACAGGCCTGTCCTTTGTCATTTGATACTACAGTAGTCAGATGAACAAGTTAATGTAGTCCCTTAAAGAAGAAAATGTCACCTTATAATTTCCTTTTAAGTGACAGCACATTTTTGTCCTGGGAATTACCTTCAAATTTCTTCTATTTCTCAATATTGAGCTTAAAAAACATTAAAATCAACAAAGAGTACATAATAACATTTAATTGGATGTATTCATATGTTGAAGGAGTCCTACTCCGTGGTAGAATGGCCTGGCCTAAACTCTGCCTGTTCAGTATTGGTATTCATCATTATTTCAACTTCAAATATGGAGAACTTAGATGAATTTTACATAGCTACCTAAAATGAATCAGGTTATATTTGATTTTTTGTAGTAAATATGTCTCATTAAAGACATTCAGGAAATGAATATACTTCTCTTTTGATGAGTATCACCTTTTTAAAAATTGGATGATTGTTGTTAATCCTTGATCTTTGGGTGTTCAAAGAGTTTGATTTACATGCCCACTAATTAATGATAGTTTTTATTAAACTTATAGGAATCTTATCATCACCCGTGTCAAGTGCCAGGCATTTAGGAGATTCAGGCAGTTCAAATGAGTATAAACATTTATTGCAAGAATCTGTACTACAGTCAAGGGAAATTATCGGGAGTTAAGCATAGAAAGTAATTCAAGGTGGACTGGACTTAATCTCTTGTGAATGTGCAGGAGCTCATGACTGATTATGTTTTTGACCCCTCCCTCGGGCTCAACCTGCCTCAATCTTCTACAACCAACAGCTCTTCCTGCCTTCAGTTACCACTGAAGTTTTAATATTTGAAGTAATTATTGACCACATGATGAGAACCCCTCTGTTATTTACTGGGGCAAAGGTTCGCACTGCCAGTATATTATAATCTGAATAAATTTTTCCCATCATCTAGTGTGATATAACAAATTACACCAATCTTATCCTTCAAAGACCTCCCATCTTAGTTAACTGTGTTTTTGTTCTATGATGATGGTGTTTATAAATTGAAAATAAGACAAAATTCCATAGGCAATTCTAGATTTAAGGTTGTAATCCAATTATTTCCCTGATCCTTATATTTAATTATTTTATTCTACCATATTAAAACTGCCATTTTCTGGCAGGTCACATTCATTTTAAAATTGTCTTTCAATTTCAACTTACATTCTATCTACTTTGCAATTTTTCAGGTGTTTTCCTCCCTTTGAAAACTGCCTTTCTACCTTATTTTTTTCTGGTGGTATTTTTGAACTCACATTATTATTACATATAATTGAAGGTATTGTTGCTGAGATTGTTTTCCATTGGTCTGAAGTTTCCCTGGCTG